CGTTCGTTCTACACCACTGATCTTTAGAATAGTTATCCCATCTGATGGGTATGGGTAGGGCTAAGGTATTGCCTATAGTTTACAAGTATCGCTTTTGACTCGCGATAAATGTTTATGGACTTCTTATAATCATGTAATCGTTTTAGCTGTTTGTAGATGCCATTACGAACAGAAAATTTTATTGCTGGACGTAAAATCACAACACTGTTATAAGCGATATTGCAAATATTTTATTCTATCGTTTATTATTTCAGACAGTGTGAAGGATCGGTGCGTTATTGTGGGATTTAAATATATGAAGAAATATTGGCCGCCTATAAAAAGGTTGTCTGTTTAAATATATTTGTGACAATATACAACTTACATGGGAATTCCTTGCTTATAAGCTAAGTAAGTCACATAGTTGCTCACATTTACTACTTTTGAAATGTACTTCATAGAGACGATCAGAGCAGGTATCCTATTCTCAAACTCAAAAGAGTGCTCCTACACTCACTGCTCCATCACTAATGTTGCAAGATGACCAAATTCAAATAGTACCATGGTGTAGATTATTACTATTTTTTTCATGATTTTATCGTACAAACTGGCCTTACTAGTGTGACGTTATCGAAAGATGGTTAATTTAAGAGTTTATGGGGTTAGGATTGGGGTAATTTGATAATAATTTTATTGAATAAACATAAAAAACAATAACACAGCCTTTTCTTGTTTCAAAAATATTTTTTTCTTCTTGTCTGATTTTGATCTTCCAATTGTTTTTGTCTATACATTTTTAAAGATGTCGCGCATTTCATTTTATCTGTAGATGTAAAACTTTACACATCCATTACCCAAAGGATTCCCTCACTAAAGTGACGACCGGTTAAATTTTCTAAAACGTTGGTATGTTATTGTACCTAGTAACCAAAAGTGTCAATAGGCTCAACTCAATCCTATAACTGGTTTTGAAAATTGCTTAGATTTTCGAAATTTTTATTTTCAAAATTACGAGCTAGATTGAATTTCTGTTGCATTCACACATTTACTATATGTTTTATTAATATATTAGTAACTATACGTACAATTAAAAATATTTTCAGTAACAGGGTGATTCACAATATATGAATAATTTTACTATGTCGTCAGGGAAGCATATTAAAAAAAAAAGATTATACAATACACATTTCTTGTACAGGATGTTTTATTGAGAGAACCACAACATAAAATTATTTTTTTCAAGGATTAATTCATAAACCCTGTAGGTACATATTAATTGATTTTTGGGAAAGGTAATACCACTTAAATATGTGTACCTCTAAGCTTCAAAATATATAAGATGATTTATTTGTTCGAAGATATTCCATTTTAAGAAAAGTACCGAAACCACTAAAATTTCTCTGGTAAAATGTAACCATTTTTTTAGTAGGTATATAATGTTTTTATATCACCTTTATATGAGATGTGAGTTTTAAATTCGAGATATAGGACGTTAAAGTGGAGAATTGCTGATTTTATTTATTTTTCTTCAAGCTCAAAAGCTAAGTTTAATATAAGTTTTGGTCAGATGTCCATAAAAAGAGACAGTTCAAAATATTTACTGTTACAGGGTGAGATTCACGAATAATTGACACTATATTTTTGCAACTTTATTGTCCCGTGTATAAAAACTTGTCACAAATATCGGAAAATGATGTATATACTGATATATTTTGTAGGTAATTTTAAAACAGTTATATTAACCTGTATATTTTAACATCTAATGTAACGTTATTAACTTACTCAAAAGTCACTAAAGAAATGTAAGGTCTCTTTTTAATAATTTCAAAACATTATTATTTTTTGTGGTTGGCTCACCCTGTATAAAAAGTACACACAGCTAAATCTTTTAATCTCAAAATTATGAACGGGAAGATATTAACTCAATGAAATAATTTCTCGGTGGCGCAACTGTAGAGATATTTAGTGTTTGCCAAAAATATATTGTGATTTATTCGTGGATCACCCTGTAACAAATATTTTAAACGGAATGGACATCTCACCAAAACTTATATTAAACTTATCTATTCTACATAAAGACAATATAGCTTTTTAGTTAGAAGAAAAAAATAACTAAAATCAGCAAATCTCCAATTTAACGTCCTGTATCTCGAAAACTGTCAGGCAACACTGCTCTCATCATTCATATGATTCCGGCCAAATAGTAAGAGAGTGTTCTTCTACGCCCCTACTCACATAGTTACAAGAATAAGGCCCCAGAACTCGTAGATTTGTAGTCACGTGACTACCGCATAAACGAAGCTTGCATCAAATCCAAGAAAGGTTTAGTTGGTTGTAACGTTAATTAGAAAAAAAAAACAACTTGAAACCCTTTTGCAAATAACGTACCTCTATTAAAACAATTAATATTAATAAAATAATAAAATTACTGGCCCAATCTGCTCTAGGAGGTAATTTTCAAACGCAACATTTGATAAAAAAATTTAATCAGAAATATATTACTTGACTTGTTCGTCTTGCTTTACGTTTAAAGTAGCGCAAGCATTCAAGTAGCTCAACAGTGATACAATAACTACCTATTTATTGTCTACAGAACATCAATCGCGAATGGGTTTCGAATCGATTTCCAGGATGGTGATTCTACATCAACGTCTGTGTAATATCTGGATAACTCTTCTTCCAAAGAACGAAGGTTTTGCAACATATTGTTCCTTGCATTCTTTAGGTAGTTCATTTAGACGCGGAAATGTCGCCATGTTTTCAGATGAGAATTAAGATGTTCATTAGTGCAATTTAGCTATTAAACCTCATAGTTTACCAGTATGGTAGTATTTCTGCCTACTTTAGGAATTCAAATATATCAGCTAGATAAGCCAAACTTATCTGAAATTCATAAGCTCTTCCAAGAGCTCATTTCTATTATTACTGTTCAAAAGAAGTGATCCTTCGTATTTTAATTTAAATAGGCGTGTTAGCTTATTACTATTGGATAGAGTAGAACCTTGTGCATAGAATGTTATGAGATTTATTCTGTTTAGCTGTCACAAGAAGCGTTAACAATAGCAATCGATGCACTTAGGAATATAATCTCGTAAAATTAAATACGACTGCAAAATGCAATAAAACGCGTTGTTTCTCTTAGGATTATAAGCGTATTTTTTTAAGGCGCTATTTTTTCAATATTTATTAAATTTTTCTCCCTGAAATCTAATCACGCCTTCCCAGGGGACGCACCTCATTGATTGGCAGACATTAGTAAGAAAGCTTGTATTAAGAAATCTTTAAAATAATTATTAAAAAAAACTGCATCCTACAAAATAAATCCCATTTGAACATTGAAAAATATATTTTATGTTAAATTGGTTATTATTGTTGTGACAACAAATTAAAAAATGGAACAATGCAAAGGTTTTTATCCCACCGCAATGTGCTGTGCCGGTTTCGCGCTTCTCCTGCTGAGCAAATTCTTTATTCACTCAGTGCGAAGTGATGGTAGGGGAAGCAAAAGCGATACTAGCGCTAGCTGCGGATAATTCGTGCATTTTAGGAAGACATTTTGTAATTTTGGCATATTAAATACACGTATACATTTTACGTTTAGTAGGTAAAAACAATACAATAAGCAACCGGAGTTGCTGTATTAAAAATTGTAAAAATACTGACAATTTTCACTAGCATAGTGGAAATTAAATCAAAGACATAAATGAATATGTGTACAGTAAGAAGAAAAATTACCTTTATTTTTGTAATAATAACAGTAATACTGGTAATAGTAGACATCAGAAACTTGAAAGGTTTTAAATAAACAATAAATATAATTTTACGATGTTCTTCAATATCCCTTTAATCTTAAATGTTCAGATTTTTTCCATTGATTATTGTATGTGACTGGAATGCAATTTTGTGACTGACGGATAGGAAACCAGTTTTAATAATTCATTCTATGTTTTCTTTCGAACAAAAATGTAAATATAAATAATAATTTGGTGTGGGTGGCTCAGTGGTAGAGTCTCTGCCTGCAGATCCAAGGGTTACGAATCTCACCGTTGGCCGGGATTTGTTCATTTAATTTAATTATTTAAAATTAATTCTGATGCCTTGGTAGGATTCGTCACTCGACCATTCACTGTTGGGTTCTAATTAACAGTGCTGTTTCTGAAGTGGCACTGGAAAACAGTAATAGACCTAGGCCATAAATCGAAAAAAAAAATAACAATTCTTCTGTTTATACATTTTAACTTTACGCTATTATTTAAGGGTATTTTTTTATTTTGACAGGATATATTAATTCTTCAAAGACAACTTATTAGACATCAGTACAAAAATGAATTGGCGCTGCTTTCACGCACGGAGCGAGAAGCAAAGCTAAATTAATGGCGCCATCTTTAAACTGTAGCAAAAGATGGGTCAGGTTATTTTAAATTATGTAGATATATTCTTATGGAACAAGTTAGATTTATAATCTCAACTTCATGAGGTCTTTTCTGCTCTGATAGTATTTGAATTCGAGACCGCCAGTTAAGAGAAAAGCTCACAATCTAGAGTATTTAAAGATTTCATAAACAGTGCTTATTATTTTGTAATAGGCGTAGCCGTGCTTTCACAGTGAACATGTGACAACTACGATATTCCTGCTATCGCTATACACTCTGGTTTTGTCACTGACATTCAGTTCGGCTAATATCACACAACCATATCTTCTTATTCTAGTCGACGACTGGTTGTTGCCCTGTTGCCATTTTATATATTTATTCGAAAAATTTGACAAAATGTAAAAAAATTTCAAATTTTTATGAAATTTGTTCAAATAAAATTTGTTTGTTATAATTTTTGTTTCATACATAATTTGCATCTACGACAGTTTGTTTATTCTTTATAAAAATAATGTATATATCAATGCAGCTCTGGCTTTTTTTCGATAAATTTATTAAACGTTGAACAAGTAAAATAGCGTTTCAATTTGCACATATAATAAGAAATGACAATAACTACAAGTTTTCTAATGATTTGTTTTCTTGCAGATGGCCAGTATAGAAGTTTCTCTATCCAGTACACCTAGACGAAAGAAGAACGGCAGCATCTCCGGGATCAGTCTATCCTCTTCGATACAATCTATTCCCAAAGAATTAGCAGTAAAAGAACTAGAAAAACTTAGAAACGCATTAAGAGACAAAGAAAATATCATACAAAGTTTAAAAGGCCAGCTCACAATACCCGGTTTAAGGTTAAATGCTATAAGAAACACGTCTAATAATAACAATAATAATATCAAAGAATTGACAGAGGTCGAAAAGAAACAGGCCGAAGCGAGATTGCATAGATTGAAGACAGATATTGATAACAAAAGACTGACTATTAAGAATTTAAAAATGGCGTTGGAGAGGCTCGATATTACAGAGTAAGTTATTTGGAAGTTACATTTAAAATACTTTGAATGTTTAAACTTACTAAAATTTAGCTCTTTATTTCTTCTTAATCATTTTGCCTTTTACTTCGTCGTGTTTGGAATCATTTTCCCGTATTATATATTACTCTGTGTTTACGTAATAAGTAATTTCAAGTATGAGCAATTTTAACTACACTTAACTTTTAATACTTACCTTTCCTTTCATCTCCTTACTTTGTTGGCATTTAAACACCAATTTTGTTGGTTCTTAAAACCTTTTTAACATAAGTATTACATTTACGTTAACCCTTTCATTACCATAACGATTGAGATAAATTCTGTAAGGAAAGGAACCTTCAAAAAGTTAAGTTATTTCTTCAATTATAATTCTTCACTTGAACGCACTACATCATATCTTCTTCATACATACATTTTAATAACATTCTAATATGTAGTAGTCCTAAAGACAAAAGATCAAGCTCATCTCGGGTCTGTTCCAACAACGATCACAAACCAGTCACTAATACCAGAATTCTGCGTAGTACATAATTTTGCGGTTCCAATATGCTACTGCGCAGCATCCTGGTATCAGTGACTGTTCTCTGATCGTTGTTGGAACAGACCTCTCGTTGAAAACCTCGGTTGTCAAATATCAGATATTTATGCAGGTATTTTTATTATTCAAAATAATAACATTTTTACTGTTGATATACAGGTCTGTTCTTTCCTCAGATAAATAAATAAATAATATCATGTAATATTTGTAACCAGAATCTTCCACCAGTATGTAGCAGTAGTTACACGACTTGATTGGATATTCGCTATTTTGGTTACGCTATTTGATTGGTTAGCAAAAAATTAACAGGAATACAGTTGTCATTTTATGGTTATTTTGTGCTGACATCGTTCATTTTGAGTTTATTTCGTGCTTTAATTAAACATTTTTTATGGTTTAATTAGTTTTGGTTCATTTAATTGATTTAAAATGTAAATGATGTGTGTTATGTGCTCGAGAAAGTATCTCAAGTTCAGTTGGATAACGTTTCATAGGCAAGTAAACAAAAACCATTACCGTTGCATCACACTTTTTTTCAGGGGGTATCATAATTTAAAATAAAGTAGGTTTGAACAACAATTTATTTTAAAGTTTAAAATAACATCGAACGTTGAATTTAGAATTATTGTATTGTACATGTGTTTAATAACTTTGAATATATCAATTAATCAATAAATTAAATTAAGATTTTATTTTTATGCACACTGTACATTTAAGAAGGCTCTAGTGACATTCCATTTAGTTATAAGTACTCAGTATTACTTTATTTTAATGACAAAATGTATTTTTAGAGCACCATAGTTATTTTAAAGTTGAATTTTGTATTACATGAAATATTACCTGTCTATTTGAACAAGTAAACACTGTTTATACCTATTTAGATTTTCAAAAGATTCTCAAACTAGGGATATGTAGATGAAAAACTTGGGTATTGGTATTCGTGAGGATGAAGTAAGTGAATTTAGTAAAATTTGTTCGAAACATTTTGAAGATTCTGACTTTTGCTAAGTCTCCAGGTGGAAATATGTTTTTAATGAAAGGAGTACTCCTCTCATTTCACTCACATCCTGAAGCTGTTCTTCAACTGGAAACTAAGCGAGTATTTGTAGAACTATAAATAATAAGAATGTTTTTTTTTTAATTACTAATTTAAAATTGTTTTTCTTAGGGATTGTAAAATTCATGTAATTCAAAATGTATTATTGCCCTCTGATAAAATAGACGAACCAGCTGTTTGTCAATATAGTATGTCAACATCGCCTCAATATACTGATAGAGTGAATCCTACATATGAACTGTACTCTCCCATAGAATCACAATTATCAAAAAGGTGGATATAAAAAATGAAGTTACATATTTTTTTTAAGAAATCAAAAGGGATTAACCTAATTCAATTCCACTTGAATTTTTCATGAGTTTTTGGTAAAATGAGATTTTATTTCTTCATTTAAAGTAATATTTGCATGCATACATTAGTTTAGAAATTTATTACTTGATCAATTCAAACAGTACTGGAATATAATAAGTTGAATTCAGTAAATGCCGCAATTATTATCCTTCGTCCTTTTTTGCTCTACTAGAAATTGATTGTGTACTTGAAATGTTAGGATATTTTCTATTTAGTTTTTAATCCAGTCCACTCTATATTTTGTTAAATTGAGCAAACCTATTTTGTTAAAGCCACACTTTGTGAGTATTTTTTTTTGATCTTATTAAAGTAGATAATGCTGTAAGAATATCTCTTCATGTCAAATCTTGTCCAAACATGAGTCTTGTTGATCACGATTTGGATAATTGTCTGAAATACCTAATTTCTTAATATTTCGGTACATTTAAACATACTTATATCACAGCTTATACAATATTGTATAAGATGTGCTTATATTTCACAGATCATCTCTTGTTGATTTATCTGTAAGACTCAATTTATTGCAGAACTATTGGATAGAAGAGATCAGGCAGACGTCTACACTAACTTATCCAAAGCCTTTGACAAAATTAATCATAGCCTACTGCCAGGCTGGATTCATATAAAAAAGGATTGAGATTTAAATCAAAGTTCATAAATCTAAAAGTAAACAAACCCCGCTATTCCCCTCCTATCAACTGGCTTGTATATGTTGCTTTCGAACAAACACATTGTAAATTTTTGACAGTAAGATATCTATAATTATTTATTTATCTGAGGTACTTTCCCATAAATATACTTTATTCCAATTAGAACCATTAATATTGATGGCATTTTAAACACCGTAAGAGTTCTCAAGGGAAACAAAATTGGTATTATTAATTTTACGAAAGGCCATTTTCTATTTGCCAAACATTTATTAAAAAAAAAATAATAGGATTACCATTTAAAAATCTTGGATCAGATATATAGGGTGTTAATAAATTAATAAAACATGAAAATGTTTCAAGAGAGAAGCAGATATCATTATTTATTTAAAGCAAAATGTTTTTGAAAGAAAACTTCTTTTTTATTCAAAATAAAGCCTGAATATAAATTTTTAAATCACAAAACTAATTTTGTCAACAAAAAAGCAAGATAGCCGATTTTTTCTCGACGAGCATAATCTTTTATGAAGAACGTTTCGTCGTAAAATGAATAATAACGATTTTTCTCTACTTGTCAACTCCATTCGTGAACACATACATAATTATTTTTTAAAAATTTTTGATAATTTCGACTAATTAATTTTTTTTTTTTTTCAGTAATATCGACGTTCGGATACAACAAGCAGAACTCGAATACCAGTTAGGAAGAGAAGAACTAAATCTTCTGACTCTATTGGAAGAAACTAGGGCTTTGCAATTGTGTATAGAGGAATCTAATAAACACTCTTCGGAATATCATACGTTGTACAGTTGCGTGCAGGGAAATGACTGTGTGTTACTACAAGCTTTACAGATAGATTACGACACGAATAATCCTAAATTTGGCGCTGGACCCAAAGAATCAGTACCTGGTCTTTATGTAGATTGGGCGTTGGAAGAGACAAATTTGTGCAAAGGTGATAGGTGAGTTTGTATTCATATTGTAAGTTAATAATTCAACTAAAAATTAATCGAATTATGATACGAATATATCAATGTGTATCGTATTATTATTCACATCATGTTTAATGTGTACACCATTCCCAGTATTCTAATTTATTTAAAAATTCTATGAATAAATCACGAATATCGAAAGCAATAAAGTAGAAAATCGTTTGAATAACAAGTTCGATGCTATTCAAATAAATTCTGAAATATTCGTTCCATATTTAATTATAATGATAACAAATATTATAAAAATGAAAATAATTGAATTTTATTAATTTTGTTATATAATAAAATAATGTAACATAAATATTCGTACATGCTTTAATTAATGTAACAAAATGAGCATAGAACAATTATCACAGCCGCTATGAGGAAAGCAGATGTCTAGATGTTCTCAAGCATTTCCATCTTAAATGCATAATGTTGGGTATCTTTAAGTCTGATAACTTCGCAAGAAGATTTTTTAGAAAAGGAAAAAATGGGAGGAAAAAAATCTAAACAATTAATTATTGTTCTTCATTATTTCCTTTATGTATAATGTATATCTTAAACAAAAAAGTTTTAAAAATTAAGGCCTGTATTCTTTTTATTTAAACAAATAGTATCAGATTTTCCCCGCTGAGATGTGGTAAATTGCACTCAATAATAAATAAAAAAGTTATTTATTGCCATGGACGTCGTTTCACAATTCTATAGGGAGGGGCAAAATTTTGAAAAAAAAATTAGAATGTTTATTTGTTGGAAAACAAAGAAAATGAAAAATAAAAGAGAATTTTCTTATGATGGATTTAATTATTCTGTGTCGTCATGGCTTACTTCCGGTTTTTCCAGAAATAACAGAAAATCGCAATTTATTTTATATTTTTAAATGAAAACCCTTTTTCTTATTGAAAATTTAAATTTCCGGGACTTTTTTGTATAAGAAGCGTTTATTAAAAATGTGTCAGTAACATATTAAAAAATATATTTTCCAATATGATGGTCATTTTGACAGCTGACAGAAAATTTTCAACAAATGATTCTTATCCATAAATGTTCCTAAAATTAAAATTTTCAAATTAAATTTCAAATTAAAAATAAATTGAGATTTTCTGTTATTTCCGATAAAACAGAAATAAGCCCTGAAGTCACACACCAAGTGAATCCAATATATAAGAGTATTTGTCCCAAGCTTTTAAACAAATAAGTTTTTATTCCAATATCTCAATTAACAACAAAGATAAAAACGGATGGAATTATTAAACGGTTTGCTAATAATAAAAATGCTTAGATACGCCAGTGGTATACAGTAAAAGGGTCTCAATGGGAATTTTGAAGTCTAAAAAGATTTTATAAAGTTCGTACATTCCTATATGTTTTTCCATTAACGAATTAATAGTAACATATTTAGAAAAAATATTATCCAATATGGCAGCCATTTTGACAGCTGACAGAAAATTGTCAATACACGATTCATATACAAAAATGTCCCAGAAATTTAAATTCACAATAAAAAAGGGTTTCCTTTTAAAATTAAAAAAATTTCGATTTTCTGTTTTTTCCGGAAAAACCGGAAGTAAGTCATGGCGTCACAGAACAATTGAATCCATCATAAGATTGTAGTAGAAGTATTTGTTCTAGTCTTTCAAACAGAACAAAATTATTCTGATATCTCACTGAATAGCGAAAATAAGGGGGGGAGTGGAACTTTAGTAGTAACCCTAACAATGTCACTGACTTATTTGACAGAACTGATACTTAAGTTATCATAACAAGTCTCTAATAAATAAAATAACCCAACAAAAAAGACAAAAAATCAAAATAAAGAAAAAATAAGAAAATTAAAACATATTTTTAAAAAATAAACAGAAGGTGTGATATAGAAGAAAAATATGAACAAGAAGACACACACAGCCCTACATAATAATATACATTAAAAAAAATAAAAAAGAAACAAAAATATAAAAAAACTCACTCAAACACGATGATAAACACAAAAAAAAAACACTAGGAAAACGCAAATTTTAAATTTCTTTTTTCTCTACAAAAAACATCGATAACAGAAAACATAATTTATTTTTCAGTCAGCCTATTTTCATTTATTATTCACTTTGTACGTGACAGCAGCGCCAACTATTTTATGAACGATATTTGCGTATACTGACAATACAATTTTTAATAGAGTTCGTAATTAAAAAATATATGTTAATTTTAATAAAAGTATATGAATTTGTAAAACAAGTGAAAAAACTATTATAATTATATATTTTTATTACTTCAGCTAAAAAAGCAGTATAATCAATAAAAATCAATAATAAAACAAAGGCAGAAATTTACGAGAAAATGTATGAGATCTTGCCTAAGTTATCATTGAAGAATTGGTTAAATAATGTCAAAATAAAAACATTACCATTATATAATACCGTAAAATTAAAACGTATTACCAAAAATAATTGGTATATTTGTGATTGTAATTTATATTTTCTTCATTTTTAGTTTAAAAGAACCCTTAGCAATTAATGATTAAAACTGGTTTCCTATCAATAAGTCACAAGATTGCATTTCAGCCATATACAATAATCAAAGGCAGAAATCTAATCATTTGCAAAATATTTAAGATTTAAGGGATGTTGAAGAATATCTTAAAATAATAATTTATTGTTTATTTAAAACCTTTTCTGATGTCTATTATCTCCAGTATTACTGTTATTATTACAAAAATAAAAGTTTCTTTTCTTCTTATTATACAGCTTATTTTGAAACTCAATATGAGGTCGGCAACAATGTCAAAAATGACAAAAAACGAAATTAATAGATTGCTGAACGGTCAAAATTATAATTGCAAATTTGATATAATTTTAACTTTAATATTTAAGATCTAAAGCTGAATTGGCAGTCACTTATGACACCGGCAAAGAATTAATTGTTGGTAATTAACTTTATTTGATCTACTTCAGCTACCAAAAAATTAACATGCTTGCAAATTCACAATATACTCGCTAATATCGCCTTAAATATCTGTGAACATTTCCAATTATTTCCAATGATAGCACGATGATATTTTTAAAAGGATTGTCATTTTTTGTTTATCTAAAAATGATTCGGTAAAATTGTAATATGTGCAAATATTAATTGAAATGGGCATTCCTAAGTCAGGCATGCTCTTCAATTTGTAACAGCTTATGACGTCGGCAAACAGACAGAACTAGCAATATTTGAAAATAGAAATCTATGGGTTTCAGAATTTTTTTCAGAAGTCAAAGAGTTACAAAATAATGAATGTATTCCTCTCATTTGCATCATACTGTGTGTTGCTGTTAATGACTACTTAAGGCTCAGCTTTGGAACCAATAATTATACTCCCATGCCGACTTCATCACCAACATTAGCTGGCAAAGCAACCAGTTGCAGAGCCATATCGAGCAAGCGACATCGCTAGAGTTATTAAAGTGTATTTAGTTATAGGTGCATTCAAGTATAAAATTGAACTTTTTATCTTTTACTCTATTTCTATTTGAAAAATTGATTAATGTTCGAAAAGAACAGGACAAGGCGTACACACTTGTATGCACGTGTACATAAGAAACTACATTGTATTTCAATGCAAACATTTCTAAACAAGTTAATCAACAAACTCAGCTTAGTCTACATCAACAATATTAAAAATCGGGACGGCCCAACTGGAGTGATTGCTTCTCGCCGACATGTTGCCGCTTGCAACGACACAGAATCGACATATCGATTAGTGTGAAAACAGTCCCATTTATTTACACGAAATTTTGAGTTCACCGGTATCGTTGTCGGCGTCGTTCCGATGAAAACGCCCTGACACATATTGCGTATTTTAGTCCACCAATAAACTAAATCGTTCAGCAAGCTCGTCATTCGTAAACTGTTTTCTTGGTGTGATCTTAAGGTTATACTAAGGTTCCTTTCCAAGCAAAACATCTGCAACTAAGAGCTCACCAATTGCAATTGCAATTATGTATTTTCTGAAACAAGAGTGATCTAAAATTATTTACATCCATCTGTTATGAAAATTATATAGATCTCTTAATATGAAACTCAACTTTAAAAATACAAATTAATATCGTGTCTTAAGGTAGTTCACTCGTAAAATGGCTTTTCTTAAGAATTCAATAAATTTGAAATATAAGTTTAATGAAAGTGTCTTTTACGTATTTAAAAAAATACATTTTTTTTGACCGTCTTTGAAACGAGATATTAACAATCAAAATGTGCATAATAAACACTCTTGAGGCCTCTCATGTACACAAGCAATGCATTTATGTCAAGATATCTGGAAAACGCTTCTTACTATATTTTTTTAAAACTAAATAAAAAAAAAACGCTGAATGTTTTGACCGTTTTGATAAAAGGATATAGATTTTTAAAATAAAAATATTTTTAAAGCATTTGACGCGTAGTGGGGTACAATGATTATAACTTAGCAACATTATAATCGCCACACTTAGCGCGAAGTAACTCGATCAGCTAAGAGGTTGTTAAAACCTCGCGACGTATTCTTGAAAAATCAATTCGTTAACTAACATCAAGCTAAAAATATTTTTTTTATTGTTCCTTAATCTTATTTAATAATTTATATTTTTTAAATGTTATTGTTATTGTAGTACTTTAAATTCATTGTTACTGAATACCGATATTTTGACATTGTTACCAGTGGATACACTTGCTTAAGGTACGACTTTACAATTTATTGTCACTTAGCCATTTAAATCTTCTTCCTCAATATTTATATACATGTCCAGATTTTAAATTTTTTTAACATTTTGTATTATTTTGACCATGTTTACCCCATTTAATTCTAAAATTAAACACTTGAGAGGGCTAACTTCGGCGGTAATGCTGCGTCTATATTTCACGTACGGTCCCGATATAAGTAATTATATGAATTATCTGTCTTTTTTGGTACAAACTGAATAAAAAAGTAGTAATCGATGTTAATGTACTACGGAACTATTTGAATACTTTCTTCC